AGAGAGAACACTAACCTTGCTTGAGGCAACACCAAAAAGCTTCACAGCAAGTGTCTGTCTGGGACCGCAATCTTGCCTAGAGGAAGCCACGACCACGTGTCAGAGCAGGGAAGATGGCCGCAGGTCGTGTTCGTCACCCGATGTGAAGTTCACGAACGGAAGCAAAATTTTGCGAACATTGCTGTTCGTGAACCAAATTGTTCGTGAACAGAAGCATTCATGAACTGAGGTATTACTGTATTGTGTTTGAGCAAATCCACACAGCCTGCTTATTGTGGTGTGAAAATGCCCCACTTACCATTTACTGCTGGCTCTGTGCCTCCATGGTGGTTTGTTCTTTGGCTGCCAGACAGAACATTTTTTTAGCAGTTATTTTCTTCTTTTTTGTGTAGTTTGGTCAGGAAAATATCAACCTAGTGGAAGGTTGAATGCAGGTCTTCAAGAAGTCCAGTGTTTCCATTGCTAAGCAGAAAGCAGACCAGCAACATTTTTTTTTCCAGATGGGAATCAGGAAGAGCAGCTGCACAGCATGTCTTCTATTTGGTCACCAAAGTAGGGGACAAACGCACCACCAAGTTGTTTGCTGTGGGGGCTGCAGCTTCTAGTCTGTCTAGTCAAAAATTGCTCTAGTCCATTTTTGCACACTGTGAGTGTGCGCTGGCCAAGTGGGGGCCTTCATATCCTTGGCCAGGGATTGTAGGGCTATGAAACAGGAGGCTGTGCTTTTTCTCCACTGCCTCCTCCAGCTCCAGCTCCAGCTCCAGCTATATCCATCCCTGCATACTCTGTAAGGGGTACAGGATAGAAGAGCCAAAACAAAAGTAGAGCTGAAGCCCCACCAGTGCCACAGTCAGGGGAACTTCACTGGACACCCTGCAAGAGTGAAAACAGCCACTTCTCCCAGCAGGTGGTAAGGGGAAAGCTATGGCAGCCACATTATTTTTCTTTTGAGATTTCTGTAGCCTTGGCAGATGGGAAATTAAAGACGTTTAATTGTATGCCCTGAGCACGCTGCTGCTACTGTAAGCAGTGTCTAAAAGGCAAACAGAACATGCATGCCATTTGTTTGCAGTTGCATAGAAGCAGTTACAGATATGTTTGTGCATGCAAACATCTCCTGCCTGCCTGGGAGGTGGACTCTGCCAGATGCTCCTCGTGACTCCTCCCCCTTGTGTAGTTTCTTGCTCCAGGAGCAACCATGGGAACAGCTGGGATGCAGCTGCTGGGGAAGGAAAGAGTCTGAAGTAACCAGTGCTGCCCTGAAACTACGAAGTGTTCAGCTGAAGGCAACAGACAGACTATCAGCCTTTTTACTGAGGCACTATGAAAAATGTGCTGGGAGACAAGTGGTTTTCATATCAGTATACTCTTCCCATCTCAAGGGTTGGAGAAAAACACATGGTTGTGTGGATGAGCCCTATAAGTCTAGCTATGTAGTACAGTCAGGTCCAGAAATATTGGGACATCGACACAATTCTAACATCTTTGGCTCTATACAATTAAAAAGGGAAAGTTTGATGTATGATTAAGCTGACAGTCTGCAGTTAACGCACATTGTGTTTGTTTCATTCATTAAAAAGGGAAAGTTTGATGTATGATTAAGCTGACAGTCTGCAGTTAACGCACATTGTGTTTGTTTCATTCATTAAAAAGGGAAAGTTTGATGTATGATTAAGCTGACAGTCTGCAGTTAACGCACATTGTGTTTGTTTCATTCATTAAAAAGGGAAAGTTTGATGTATGATTAAGCTGACAGTCTGCAGTTAACGCACATTGTGTTTGTTTCATTCATTAAAAAGGGAAAGTTTGATGTATGATTAAGCTGACAGTCTGCAGTTAACGCACATTGTGTTTGTTTCATTCATTAAAAAGGGAAAGTTTGATGTATGATTAAGCTGACAGTCTGCAGTTAACGCACATTGTGTTTGTTTCATTCATTAAAAAGGGAAAGTTTGATGTATGATTGTATAGAGCCAAAGATGTTAGAATTGTGTCGATGTCCCAATATTTCTGGACCTGACTGTATATGCTGCAGAATCGAATGCCCTGAGTGCTATATGAAAGAAGTTAGAAAATAATCTATAGACCTTTATAGATCAATATATGGGCAATTTGTTTGAATTAATTTAGTGTAACCAGTCAGATTTAGAAATATTTTCAGTAAATCATAGCTGTGACAACCCACACCTTGAACTGCATCCAGAAGCCAACTGGTAACCAATGCAGCTCGTGTAGCAGCAGTGACACATGGGTACAGTGAGAAGTGTCTGTTAGCTGCTCGTACCACTGCATTTTGAACCAGCTGTAGCTTCTGGCTGGTCTTCAAGGGCAGCCTTGTTATTTATTGCCTGATCCAGTAGCTTTCTTTTTGTATTTTCACTACTATTCTTACAAATGGCACATTTCACATTCTGTAACTATCTATCACTAACTTCCCTCAATTCATCTAATGATAAGGACTTTTCTCCATGGAACCTACACCATGATACAGTAAACTGAGTAGCCAATACAAGGCTGCTACAAGACTCTCTTACTTGTTTGCTTATTTATTTTTAAGACTTATATGGCTGCCCATCTTCAGACACAACTCTAAGTGGCTCACAGCAATGGTACAGAACCAAAACTTCATTAAAAAAAATAAAACCAGAAAATAATAATGGCAAAAAGCAAAAACCTAGAGCCACAACCAATCTCCTCTAATTCAGCCAGCGCCACCATCTCCAGGCTCCAACCTCACCCTATCCCAACACTTTGGGGAAGGACCAGCATTTGCAGCCTTCTGGAAGATCAAGAGGGTGGGGGTCTGCTGAATCTCAAGGAGAAGGGTGTTCCATAAGGCAGGAGAAAAGGCACACTTCCTAGGTCCCACTAGATGGCAACATTTAAGGGAGGGGACCTAGAGTGTGTCTACTCTATCCAATTTGGTGGAACAGGCAAATACTCTCAGGGAGAGGCAATCCTGCAAAAACCTGGCCCTGTGCCATGTAGGATTTTAAAGGTGATAACCAGCACCTTGAATTAAAACTGGAAAAAAAACTGGGAGCCAGTACAGCTTGCACAACAGGGGTGTATAATGGGCAAACCTAGGGGAGCCCAGCACTGCATGCACTGCTGCATTCTGGACCAGTTGTAACTTCTGGGAGATCTTCAAGAGCAGCCCCATGTAGAATGCATTGTAGTAGTCCAACTAGGAAGTGACCAAGGCATGAATGACTGTGAGCAAGGCCTCCCAGTCCAGGAATTGGCACACAAGATGAATCTTTGCAAAAGCCCCTCAGCCACAGCTGCCATCTGCTCCTTGAACAGGAGCTGTGTAGGAGGACCCCCAATGTAATGGTATGTGGGAATGACCTTGGGAGATGAGGAAGAGCAGCAGCCAGGGCAATGTTCAGATAAGAGGCAGCTTAGCCTGCAGCAGGAATGTGGGCATGACAAATGTCTCAGGAGGGACCCTCCCTAGTTTCTTGGACTGTAAAGGCAAGCAGGGGGAGGTGCAGTTTCAGACTTGCAAGATTCTGTTATTGAGAGCCAGTATGATGTAGTGGTTAAGGCACCAGGCTAGAAACCAGGAGACTGTGAGTTCAGATCCCAGGCATGAAAGCCAGCTGGGTGACTTTGGGCCAGTCACTCTCTCTCAGCCCAACTCATCTCACAGGATTGTTGTTGTGGGGAAAGTAGGAGGAGGCAGGAGTACTGGGTATGTTCGCCACCTTGAGTTATTTATAAAAATAATAAAGGCAGG